TTTTTGAGACAGGGTCTCATTATGTAGCCCAGGCTGGCCTCTAACTTGCACCAGTCCTCCTGCTTCAGCCTCCTGAGTGTTGGGATTCAGATGTGTGCCACCACACCCAGCTCCTTTTTGATCTTTGAGACAGTCTTGCTAAATTCCTAAATTGTCCAGGGTGAGCTCCAATTTGCAATCCTCCTGCTTCAGCCTCCTAGAGTGCTGGAATTATAGCCATGGGCCACTGCACCAGCTGACTTTAAGTCACCCCACCCTGTGGCTCCCAAGAGATGTAGGATGCTGTGAGCTGAAGAGCAGGGAGTTGTGGTTGTTGGGGACACACCGAGGCACCCATTGGGATAGGAGCAAGGGGAAACTGAGGCTCAAGATGGTGAGGTCTCAGAGCCAGGGAGGGGTGCACTGGCTGCCAGGAGCCCAGGGCCACCCTGGAAGAGAGCAGAAGCTGGCAGAGCCTGATGGGGGTCAGGTCAGCACATGTCCTGGCATCTCCATGCCTCCTCCAGCTCAGAGCCCCCTGGGGAAACGCGGGCCCCAGATTTCGTCAGGGTGAAGCAGCGCAGAGCCTGGCAGGGAGCCGGGCTGTAGGGCGGAACCGAAGTCAGCCACACAGCCGGGAAAGGGCCTTCCAGGACTCGGGACCCATGCCACTTTCTCCCCTCCGCCTGTCTCTCCTGGGCTGCAGCGCGGTCCCCTCCCTGGCCGGTGGCCTTTGGCGTCCGACTGTCCTCTCCGCACAGGGTCGGTCCGGGGTCCCAGCAGCCGGTCCGTCCCCCCAGCCAGCCGGCCAGCGGGGAAGATGCCGGAGCAAAGCAACGACTACCGTGTGGTGGTTTTTGGTGCCGGCGGCGTGGGCAAGAGCTCGCTGGTTCTGCGCTTCGTGAAGGGCACGTTCCGCGACACCTACATCCCCACTATCGAGGACACCTACCGGCAGGTGATCAGCTGTGACAAGAGCGTGTGCACCCTGCAGATCACAGACACCACGGGCAGCCACCAGTTCCCGGCCATGCAGCGGCTGTCCATCTCCAAGGGCCACGCCTTCATCCTGGTGTTCTCCGTGACCAGCAAGCAGTCCCTGGAGGAGCTGGGCCCCATCTACAAGCTCATCGTGCAGATCAAGGGCAGCGTGGAGGACGTCCCCGTCATGCTGGTGGCCAACAAGTGTGACGAGGCCCAGCGCGAGGTGGACACGCACGAGGCGCAGGCCGTGGCGCAGCAGTGGAAGTGCGCCTTCATGGAGACGTCGGCCAAGACGAACTACAACGTCAAGGAGCTCTTCCAGGAGCTGCTCACGCTCGAGACGCGCCGCAGCGTGAGCCTCAGCGTGGACGGCAAGCGCGCCGGCAAGCAGAAACGGGGCGAGCGGGCCAAGGGCAAGTGCAGCCTCATGTGAGAGCCGCCGCCGCCTCACAGCGACACCGACACCGACACCGGCACCGGCACCGGCACCGGCACCGGCACCGGCACCGCCACTCGGACCTGCTCCTCCGCCGCCTGGGCCTCCTACTCCTCCTCCTGAACCGCCATCACCCGCCCCCCCATTTCTTCTTCCTCCTCCCGCATCCTGGCTGGAGAAGACAAGGCTGCCCACCCAGCCCTCCGCAGGCAGCTCGGGGGGCTCCCACCCGGCCCCTCCTGATGCTACAGCTCTTCTTCCTTCCCACCCCTCTCTCTGCCCTCCTGACCGATCTGGACTCCTCCCAAAGCCTGGAGCTGGAGGGGACTCCCGTGTCCTGCGGATGAGAAATCGGGGAGTTGGCAAAAGGAGCCTCTTGTCCCAGCGGGGACCAGAGAGGCTCCCTTTCTGAGGACCCGCACCTCTGTCCCCTGTCCCTCCGGTGCCCCTGTCACACCTGCATCCCTGCCCCCCACATTTGATCACTGTGACCTCCCAGGGGAGGGGGCTGAAATGCACATCGACCTCAGATACTTTTCTTCTTCTTTCTCCTCCCTGGTGTTAAACACGCACCCTGTGCCACCCCGTCCCCCTCGACCTCTGCCCGACCTGTGCTCCTCCTCTGGTCCCTGTCTATACACCAGGTGCAGGGGCCCGCGGGATGGGCCTCAGGCCACCAGGCAATAACCGCAGGGCCTGTGCAGCACCCCATCAGCCTGAACCCCCCGCACCCCGGGACGAGTGGACAGACACAGCACAAACCCGGGATGGTCCAGCCAGGGCCACCCCGGAGCCTGGAGCCTCAGGGCTTCCTGGACACTGCCCACTGGGGCCTGGCCCTTCCACCAAGAGAAGGACATTGGCATGGCAACGTGGCTACACCAGCATCCTGGTTGGGAATCTGGGGTGCTGGGGAGGGGGTGGCCAGGGAGATACCACCTAAGCCCTATTCAGGGCCAGTAGTTGGGACCTAGCATCACCAGGATGCATGGGGGCCCCGGTGGGACCCGCTTCCTCCTGCCAACCCTGCCCCAGAGATGGGGCCCCAGGAAGTGTCCCAGAGTCTGGGGTATCTGCAGCCATGAGAGGTAGGGTGTCCGTCAGTGTCTGGGTGACACTTCCCCGTGCCAGGGCTGTCGGGAGCCAGGTGAAGGTGGCTGTGGGATGACGTATTTGTGCACCTGTGTGTCTGTCCTCAGGGTGGTGTGTTTTGCACCTGTTATAAAGGCCCTGCTCATGTGTAGAGTGGGTGGTGCGGCCATTCGTGTACGGCTGTTGACAAGACTGGGTATTGGTGACTTATGCGTGTGAGTCTTTATACTTGTATGAACATGGCTGTGTTTTCAGGAGTGGGTGACGTGATTTATCTGTGAACCTGTTGTTCTGACTCTCTGAGGATCACTGTGTCTGCTCTAGTCTTGTGCAAGCTGACTCTGTTCAGAGTGTATCAGTCAGCCCGTGAAATCCACCAGTATGGCAGCCTGAAGCGACACACTCTTATGGTCTTCCAGCTTCTGAGGGTCAAGACCTGGGTGGGATGAGTTGAATTCTTTCCTTGGGATCTCACAAGGCCACAATGAAGGTGTTCACTGGAGCCAGGTGTGCTGGCACATGCCTGTCATCCCTGCATTCTGGGAGGCTGAGGCAGGAGGATCATAAGTTATAGCTCCCTTGGGCAACTTAGTGACTTAGCAAGTCCCTGTCTCAAAATAGCAAAATAAAAAAGGGCTTGGGACAGAGCTCAGTGCAAAGGCCCTAGATTTAACCCCCAACACCCCCCAAAAAAGCGCCAACTGAGCTGCGGCCTCATTTGAAGCCAGACAGGGAGGACCTGCTTCTGAGCTCGCGTGGCTGTCACAGAAGGTAGTGCCTTGGGGTTCCAAGACTGAGGACCTCAGTTCCTCAGTGGTTATCATGTGGGCCCCTCCATGGGGAGGGGCCCAGTGTCTCAATGTGGCAGCTAAGCTCGTAAGGCACAGTGTCTGGGAAGATGACCATTCAACTATTTTTTTTTTGGTACTGAGAATTGAACTTGGGTCCTTGCACTTGCGCAGCAGGCAGTGAAACCACTGAGCTAAATCCCCGGCCCATTCAACTTTTTATTTTCTTGTAGTCCTAGGGGTTGAACCCAGGCCCTCAGCACTGATCTCCATTCCCAGCTCTTTTTTATTTTGTTATTTTCAAGACAGGGTCTCGCTAAGCCACTAAGTTGCCCAGGCTGAGCTGTAACTTGGGATCCTCCTGCTTCAGCCTCCCAGAGTGCTGGGATGATTGACCATGTCTGACCTCTTAGAGGGGGTGAGGAAGCTGTGTGAGTGCGCGCGCGCAGTGTGTGCACCTGGCCTGTGAGGGAGATCTCGCGCGTGTGGCCGTGCGAAGAGGATGCAGGCAGAGAGAGCCTCCATGTCTGGCCTGGCATCTTTGTGATTGGTTTTCCTCATATTCAGGGGATTGTCCCCTCCACAGATGCTTCCCGGGCACACCAGAGAGGCAGGGAGTGTGTTTGCCTGTGAGGGTACCTGGGTGTGTATGGGCCCCCGAAGACCTTGCAGCCTCGTGTTGCAGCAGAGCTGAGCCCTGATTTCAGACGGGCCCAGGGACCCTGGCAGCTCCTGCTGTCCCCTCTCCTGGCCCCGGGAGTGGCTCCTGGCTGGACAGGGGTCCCAGCCCTTTCTCAGGGACACACCCTGATAGCACAATCCCCATGGGGCCGCCTGTCCCGGGCCTCTCCCATTCCTCACCCCAGGGTGAGGACATCTGCAATAGGAGGGGCTGGAGCCCACCTTGGCTGCGCCCATCCTGCCCGGGCATCCCTGGTGCTGGGGACCCTGCCAGGCCACGCTTGCTGTGATCCTGCCCCACCCTCCCCTGCATGTGGGAGCCCCCGCCGCCCGCCGTGGGGTCTGTGTAGCGTCCGCTGTAGACTTAGTCTTCCTGCAATAAAGACATGGATCCTATGTTGCCCAGCAGCTCAGTGCCCCTTCTTTGGGGTGGGGTGGGGGTCAGTTTGCCACCTTCAGAGGATGAGGGAGGGGATGGTGGGGAGGGGAGGGCTGAAGGGGGCAGAGGAGGGGAGGGAGGAGAAGGAAGTTCAGAGAACAGGATGGGAGTGGAGTGGTGCACACTGTCATCCCTGAACTCTGAGAAGCTGAGGCAAGAGGTTCACATTTGAGCCCAGTGTAGAAGAAGATCAATCTGGATCCCTAAAGAGCACTGGGAGTAGGAGTCCATGCCAACCTGACTTGGAGCAGACATTTGCACTGTCCCAGGAGGATCCTGGAAGGAGCACCAGGCAGGGGAAGAGCACGTGCAAAGGTCCTGAGGCCGGAGCCCTCCGTGGTTAGAGTGGCTGGAGGAGAGGGAGGGGAGGTGCAGGCACTCTCAGGTCAGCAAGGGTGAGATTAGGAAGAGTTAGGGCATTTAGGGCAAAGAGCCCTGCGGCACAATGGGAAGGTTCAGGTTTCCCTGTGTGGCCAGCTGAGGGGAGTGAGCAGAATGCTAAGAGCCCCACATGAAAACCTTTTCTAGTTTTTGGTGCTGGGGATAAAACCCAGGGCCTCCCTCATGCTAAGCATGTGCTCAACCACAGAGGTGCCCTCCCTTCCCAAGAGCCCCATTTTACAAGGTGCTGAACCTCCCAGGCCTCAGTTTCCTCATGTGTACAAGAGTCCAGCCTCACTATGTAGCCCAGGTTGGCCTCAAACTCATGGCGATCCTCCTGCCCCAGCCTCCCAAGAGCTGGGATGACAGGCAGGCACCATCATTCCCAGCTCGATATATTTTTAGCCCAAATAAAATTATTAATAAAGTATAAATAATATGTGAATGCAATTTTTGAGCCTTTTTCTTTAACAGCGATTGATTCCCAGGAAAGTAGACAGAAATGTCCCTGAAGGTCGTTCACCCTGCCTCTCCCATGATGACATCTTGTATAACTGCTGTGCAGCCTCCAAGGCAGGAAAGTGACACCATCCAGATTGTGTCAGTTTCACGAGAGGGCGCGGGGAGGCTGCATGCAGATTTACTGCACGTATCACTTCATGCAGCCATCACAATCAAGACATTTAAGTGCACGAAGCCCCACACTTCCTCCTACTCCTTCACACTCACACTCTCTAATGCAAAATTTGAAAAATATTTTTATTATTTTTTTGGTACTAGGGATTCAACCTGGGCCTTCACACTAAGCTCCATCTCAAGCCCTTTTTTATTTTTTATTTTGTTTGTTTGTTTGATTTTTGGTATTGGAGATGGAACTCGGGTCCTTGCACTTATGGGGCAGGCGGTGGAACCACTGAGCTAAATCCCTGGCCCTTTATTTTTTATTTTGAGACAGGGTCCCTGAGTCACTAAATTGTCCAGGCTGGGGTTAAACTTGTAATCATCCTGACTCAGCCTCCCATAGTGGTGGAACCACACATACATTGAGTCAGGTGTGGTGGCAGCATACATCTGTCACCCCAGCACTCTGGGAGGCTGAGGCAGGAGGATCACAAATTTGAGATCCACCTGGGCAACTTAGTGACTTAGTGAGACTCTGTCTCAAAATAACAAAATAGGGCCGAGGATTTAGCTCAGTGGTTTCACCGCCTGCTGCGCAAGTGCAAGGACCCGAGTTTGATCCCCGGTACCAAAAAAAAAAAGGAAGCATCAAAATAACAAAATAAAAAAAGGCTGATGATGGAGCTCAGTGTGAAGGCTCCCAGTTGAATACCCTGTACCAACAAAACAAAGCAAAACAAAACAAATGTGCATCGAAGGAAGTATTAACTTTTTTTTAAGAAATGGAGTCTCAGGGCCGGGGATTTAGCTCAGTGGTTTCGCCGCCTGTTGCGCAAGCACAGTGAGCCAAGTTCGATCCCCGGTACCAAAAGAAAAAAAAAAAAAAAGAAATGGGGTCTCACTATGTGGCCTAGACTGGTTCCAGCTCCTGTTAGCATCAAGCAATTTTCCCACTTCAGCCTCCAAGGATAAATATTAAAATTTTAAATAAAGTCAGGATCCCACATTGCTATATGAGCCTCATGCAAAAGAAAGAAAAGTGTGTGTGTATCTCATGTATCTATTTTTATGTATGCATCTTTAGATATCTATTCATCTTTATGTATTTTTTTGGGTACCGGAGATCGAACTCAGGTCCTTGTGTTTGCGCAGCAGGTGGCGAAACCACTGAGCTAAATCCTTGGCCCCCATCTTTATGTATTTTTAATTGTTGATTTTTTCAAGAAGTGGATTTTGAAAATATGACTGATGAATTTGCTTCCATTAAAACTAGAAATGTAGCGGGCCGGGGATTTAGCTCAGTGGTTCCACCACCTGCCTCACAAGCAGAAGGACCCAAGTTCCATCCCCGGTACCAGAAAAAAAACAAAAACAAAAAACTAGAAATGTAAAATTATAATACATTCTGCTTGGGCATAAATGAAGTATTTAAACTTTATAATGACATGGTAAAAAAATGATATTGTGAGTTTTTAATACAACTTCCTTTCAACTTTTCAATTTTTTAAACAACTTTAATGTTCTGAAAAAATCAACCATTAAAAAAATTCATAATTCTTGCTGGACACAGTGGCACATGCCTGTCATCTCAGCTACTTGGGAGGCTGAGGCAGGAAGATTGCAAGTTTGAGGCCAACCTGGGCAACTTAGTGAGGTCTTGTCTCAAAATAAAAATAAAAAGATTGGGAGCGTTAGCTCAGTGTAGAACACTTGTCTAGCATGGGTGAGGCTCTGGGTTCAATTCCCGGTATCATAAAATAAAAAACAGAAACATTATTATGGAAGAAAGTTTGGCAGTTAAACAAATAAACAACAAAAAAAACTATGCCAGGCATGGTGGCACACTCCTGTAACCCCAGCACTCTGGAGGCTGAGGCAGGAGGATTGCTGTGAGCTTGAGGGAGGCCTGGGGTACATTGGGATACTTTGTCTCAAAAAAAAAATAAAATAAAATAAACACACACTTACCATATGACCCACTAATTGCACTCCTGGACATGAAGAGAAATGAAGATTTATGTTCACACATAAATCATGTGTGTTTGTGGCAGCTTTACCTGTAAAAGCCAAAAATTGGAAAGAATAAAGAAAGCCTCCTGGGGTGGGTGGTAAAACCAGCCCACTGGTACCAGGAAATAGGGCTCAGGAGTTAAAGGGACAGGCTGAGGATTCAGCTCACGGCCAGTGCTTGCTGGTGTGCTGAGGCCTGGCTTCCATCCCCTGCACCAAGAAAACTAGACAGAAAAATAAGACAGGCATGGGGGGGGTGCCTTTAATCCTAGTGGTCTGGGAGGCTGAAGCAGGCAGATCTGAAGTTTGGGTCCAGCCTGGGTAATTTAGCGGCTTAGCTAGACCCTGTTTCAAAATAAAAAGGGATGGAGATGGAGCTCAGTGTGAAGCCCCTGGGTTCCATTCCTTAGAGAGAGAGAGAGAGACACGGGGGGGAGGGGGAGAGAAAAGAAAAGAAAACCTAAATATTTTAATCTGAACTTTGGATTTTAACCATGGATTTAGCTCTTCCAGGAAGTACACACATTTCAAAACATCCCATTGAACACCATGTATATAATTAAAAGTTTTCAATTAAAAAAACCAAAAAAAACCAAATCCAGTGTCTCATTCTCCACCAGGGCTCTGGACTGGCTTTGGAGCCAAGTCTTGACCCACTGAAGTGAAGCTGCTCACTTTACCCAGGGCTGCAGAAAAACTCAGGTTCTCCGGTTTTTTCGAGTCCTTGGAAATCTGGATTTTTTTTTTTTTTGTACCGGGGATCAAACTCGGGTCCTTGCGCTTGTGAGGCAGGCAGCGGAACCACTGAGCTAAATCCCCAGCCCAATCTGGATTTATTTTTGTGAAACATTCTGATTTTTTTTTTTTTGACAGGGTCTCACTCTGTAATTCAGGGTGGTCTTGAACTCACTGTGTAACCCAGGCTAAAGTTAATGCTCCTGCCTCAGGCTCCTGAGTGCTGGTTAACTTTTTTTTTCTTTCCAGTATCAGTCGAACAGGACCTTGTCTTGCAAGGTAGGTGCAGCACCACTGAGCTAAATTCCCGGCCCCCAAGTGCTGGGATTATAGGTGTGTGCCACCATGCCCGACTCCTGATTTTAAAAATTATTTATTTATAAATCTGTCTCTCTGCTTTTGGTACTAGGGATTGCACCTAGGCCCTCAAACATGCTAAACACAAACTCTACCACTGAGTCTCAGCTCCACCCCCAAATATCCTGATTTTAAAACATTGGCAATAGATTTCAGTTGCACCTGCAGGGCCTCCAGTTTGCCACCCCTTTTTAGGCACTCTGTTCTCTTGGGGGTGTGCACCCAGGCAGCCTGTCCAGTCGCAGGTGGGAGGGTTGGTGCCCCGACAGGTGCCCAGTTACATGTTCTGCAAGAGAGCGGGGCCGACAGCTGGCGCCTAGAGGAGGAACAGAGCTTCCCACAGGGAAGACAGGAGCCCCAGGGAGCTGAGACCAGCAGCTGGGGATCACAGATTATCTGCCTTGAACAAAGTTCCTGAGGCCACAGAATATGGTAGCTCTATTCTCCTCTAGATGTGGCACACGCCTGTCATGGTAGCACTTGGGAAGCTGAGGGAGGAGAATTGCAAGTTCAAGGCCAGCCTGGATAACTTAGTGAGACCGTCTCAAATAAAATAAAAAGGGCTAGAGATGTTGCTCAGTGATAGCCTGTTGAGCATTCCCTGGGTTCAATCCTCAGTTCCAGGAATCATTTCATTTTCAAGCCTTATTCAGAGGGTTCCATGAGAGGGAGACTAGACAGTGTTCAAGAAAGTGGTGCTGCGGTTACTATTATTGACATTCTTCCCCGGGCAGTGAGCCTCCGGGGGTAGAATTCGCAATTCGAACTCCACGCTGCGCTCGGGATTCGAACGTGGGAACTGCCTTGACGTGAAGCAGTCACCTCTGGGAACCTGTTCCTCGCTCGCCTTGGAGTCCGCCAAAGCGTGCTGATTTGCATATTAGCATAACTCCGCCTTCCTCGAGCGTTCCCAGCACCCCCACGGCCTGCCCGGTGCCACTCAAGGCTCCGCCCCCTGCCCCGCCCGCGTTTGAAGCCCCGCCCCGCTCTCCTGGGTGCAGCCTACCCCGCTGCCTGCCTCCTGCCCGGCCCCCTGCTCCGGCCTCCGGCTTCCCTGCTCTCGATTGGTCATTTAGGGACGCCGGGCCCGCCTCCTGAGCGCAGGCCCCGCCCCGCAGAGGGAGCCAGTGCTCCCGGGCCGGGGCGGCGGGTTCGGCTGCGCGGCGGGGCTGAGGCGGCGGCGGGCCGGAGTGCAGGTGAGGGCGTCTCCGGCGGACCGGGTCCGCTGAGGAGGGGTCTGGGGCTGGAATTGGGGGTCAGGGTCAGCTAGGGAGGGGGCTGGAGTTAGGTTACCAGCTCAGCTGGGAAGGGGCTGGAGTCGGGGGTCCAGGTTAGCTGTCGAGAGGGTGGGGTCGGGGGTCGGAGTCAGCTGAGGAGGAGATGGAGTTGAGGGTGCAGGTTAGTTAAGGAGGGGACTAGGGGTGCAATTAGAGGTCTTACCTGGGGAGGAGGACAGGAGTTGGGGGGTCCAGATTAGCTGGGGAATAGGACGGGGCTGATTGGAGGGTCAAAGTTATTTGAGGGATATGGGGGCCTAATCAGTTGGGGGGACACTGGGGATGGAGCCTGGAGTGGGATTTGTAGGAGAGGGGGCTGCAGAGCCTGTGAGGAGGGCGTCAGGGTAGCTGGGGAGGGGGCTGCAGACAGCTGGGGCTGGGAGACTGAGCTGGCCTGCAGGGGTGATTGGAGGATTTAGGATTTGCTGGGAAAGAGCCCAGGGCAAAGTTAAGTCCACGCCAGGAAGGAGCCAAGGGGTGGGGGTGGGAGTCCCAGGCTTTTCCCAGGGGGTTTGAGGGGTGTCAGGGGCAGGGAGAGTGTGCCGCCGGTGGAGGAGGATTCGGAAGTTGGAGTGTGAAGGGAAAGGGTGTGGGAGGCCAGGGCAGAGGGGCAGGGGGACCTGGGGTCAAGTGTCTGCAGAAGCTGGCTAGAGAAAAGAGGAGATTGGACGTCTGGGGTCGCATTAGATGATCAGGCTTGAGGCGGAATCGCCTCCCTGTGTGTGTGGGGGGGGTGCTGATCATTCCATGTAGAGACGGGCAAGGGGCCAAGTGCCCCCGGGACAGTGAGCTGGAAGAGACAAGACATTGCCCCACCTCTTTCGGGACAAACATTTCGGGGCGCAGAAAAGCTGACATGGGTGACAGAATTTTTCAGGAGCGACAGTGGGAGTTTTGGGGCCGATGCTATTGAGTGAGGGCTGTGGGCGGCATTTCATTTTTCCAGGATAGTGGGGGCTGCTGGGGCTGGAGGTGGGTGGCTGAAGACAGGCGTGACGATCCAAAGCAGCAGGTCCCCGGCTAGGTCTTCAGATCGTTGCTAGGTGTCAGAGAAGCAACTGCCAAGTTCCTAAACTTGTTTGGTGCATGCAGGTGACCCTGAGGTCCTGCAGTGACAGTGTCCTGGGCTCTGGATGGCAGGCTCGTGTTCAGAGTTTGCCTCTGCTGTCCTGTCAGTGCCACCTCTGAGGTGTTCGTTTCTCCCCTGACAAATGGGAATAATAAAAAAGCTGAAGCAAGGACTCAACATTATAACTGCAAGCATCCCGTCTTGGCTGTAGAGGGAGGGGAAAAGGCTAGAGTGAAATGTTCTAAATGAAGGTTTCCCTTGGGTGGGGAGGAGAATGACTGAGGATAGGAGAGGAAACAGATGGAATTTGCTTTGAGTCCGGCCACCTTTGAGCACACGGGAGAATCACCCCAAGGGCTTCAAAAAAGTGTCTGCAAGAAGAGAGGGAGAGAGACGGGTATGTGTGTGGGGAGACCAAATATTTCATCATCGTCATTATTATTTCGCAATACTGGGGTTGAACCTAGGCCATCATGCTAATCTCCATCCTCAGCCCTTTTTATTTTTTATTTTGAGACAGGGTCTCACTAAGTTGCCCAGGCTGGGCTGACACTTGCAACCTTCCTGGCTCAGCCTCCCAGGGTGCTGGGATGACAGGTGTGTGCCACCACATTATTAAAAGGAGGGGGAACAAAAACTGAATAGGAAGAAGAATGTGAAGTCCAGTCAATGAATATGTGTATCCATTTAACCAAAGGCTGCCCAGGTCCTTCTGATTTAGGGGTAGGTACCCCATAAGGAATAATTCTGATGTGTACCCCTAGGGAACCATCAGGCTAGGAACAAGTTCTATGCTTGTCAAATATGAGCTTTAAACTTGAGTTCATGATACATTTGAGATTTCTCAACCTTGGCACTATGCACACTGTGGCTGGGTCGGGCTCTGTGGGGCGTCCTGGGCACAGGGTGCCGAGCAGTGTCCCGGCTCCCACTGGCCTCACACTAGAAGCTCCCCAGTTGTGATAACTGTAAATGTCCCCAGACAGGGCCCAGGGTCCTCTGGGGGCAGGGTCATCCTGGCTGAGAACCATTCTTAGAGGAAAAAACTTATTTTCCCATCTCAGCTGGGCCTAGTGGCTCATACCTGTCATCCCAGCACTCTGGGAGGCTGAGGGAGGAGAATCACAAGTTTGGGCCCAGCCTGGGTAGATTAGCAATTTAGAGTCTCTCAGGAAAGCTGGGGGAGGGGCCAAAGACAAGACCCTCATGTTTGATGCCAGGAAGTGTGGCCATTCAGATTTTGTGTTTGTTTAGTGCTCTCCTTTGGGGAGGAGGAAAGAAATCACACTGCTCTTAGAAAATTTTACATGCACTGACTTATTTCTACCTGGGCCTTCTGTGTGGCTTTTGAACTCTTATGTTCATTTGAATTTGTGGTTAATTGGCTGAGGTATCAAAAGATGCTCACTTTTATCATTGTTTCCCTGTTGTAGTTCAGGCTGGCCTCAAACTCATGGTGATCTTCCTGTCTCAGCCTCCAGAGTGCTGAGATCATAGGCCTGCAGCACTATGCCTGTGCTTCCTTGCCTGAAGCTTATTCTAAAGAAGGTTGAAATCTCTAGGTAATTCATGGTCTTACAGAGGAACTTTATTTAGAAAAATAACCATTGAGTAATGCCATTATTTTTCTGTTCTTGTCTCATGCTTAATAAAGCATGGGGTCCCATCGTTTGAAGGGAGAGGCAGCGAAACACGAATTCTCCTCACAGGCAGGGGACTCAGCCTTGTGTTTACTGAACAAAGCGTTTTCCTGCTACACCGGATAGTAACATAAAAAGCTTCTTTCTAATTCAAGGTGTGATAACAGATTTTCTCATTTGCATCTGGAAACAGAAATGGTTTTTTTTTTGTTTTGTTTTGTTTTTGGTACCAGGGATCAAACTTGGGTCCTTGCGCTTGCACAGCAGGCGCCGAAACCACTGAGCTAAATCCCCGGCCCTCAGAAATGGTTTTTTTATTCTTATTTTTTGTGTGTGCTACTGGGGATGGAATCCAAGGCTTTTGCACTGAGCTACAGTCTAGCCTTCTTATATTTTTTAAATTTTGAAATAGGGTCTCATTAAGTCACCCAGGCTGGGCTCCAAGTTGAGATCCTCCTGTTTCAGCCTCTCAGGGTGCTGGGATGACAGGCGTGTGCCACCACACCTGGTTTCATTCCACCCTTTGACTTGTCCTCTGTCCCCTAAAAGCTGGGTAAAAGTCACCATCTGTGTCCACATGGGAGAGGTGAAGGCTTGAGGTGGTGTGTCCTGGGTCACAAGCACGCCCCAGCTGCCTGCTCCTGTCCCCTCTTCCTTGTGGGTGGGCCACCTCTGTCTGGGCTCCTGAGGGAGGCCCCGCTGCTGTCTGGTCCCATCGCTGGGGGCAGTGGGGCTCGTGGGCAGCCCCGAGACACCTGTAGATGCAGTTTCCAGTTCTGCCTGAGAACCCTGTGAAGGGGGAAGTCTTATATGTGTTTTCTTTTTAAAATAGAGGTCTTATTTGCATATCTTAAAATGCAGCCATTTTAAGCAGATAACTCAGGGATTTTTTGCGAGCTTATCAAATTGTGCAGCCATCACCATAAGCCAATTTTAGAACTTTTGTTCCCTCAGTAAGATCCCTTCTCCCCATGAGCAGTCACCTGTCCTCTCCCAGCCCAGCACCCCCCGAGTCCACTTCCTGCCCCTGGAGTCGCCTGTCCTGGGCATTTCCTAGCCATGGAGCCCGTGCTGTGTCCTCTGTGCCTGGCGTTTCTCACTGAACACAACATCCTCAGGGTCCCTCCACGCTGTGGCGAGTGTCACAGCCTCACTCTTTTTCCTGGATGAATAATATTCCAGTGTATGTGTGTCCCTCTGACCCTCCATCCCTCTGGGGACACTGGGCTGTTCCCCTCTGTTAGCTGCTGGGATTGTGTCATTACTTAAGTGGCTTTGCCCTGGGAGTAGGTGACCCACTGAGCCGGGTTTGGGGTTGTTGGTGGGGGGGTGTTGTGTCCTGTCTGTCTGCACTCCTTCCCCACGCTGATGGTGCCCTGGAGCTCAGGTCTGTTCCATCCTTTGCTCAGCACCCCAAGCACCCGGATGTTGACCCCAGAAGGCCAAAATCAGCCCCTGAAGTACACACTGGCCTTTGTTTCCCCACCTCCTTACCGGCCCCTCACTCACACTGTGGACCGGAAGCTCCTCCTCTGGCTTTAGTGGCCCTATGTGAGCTGGTCCCAGATGACCTTGGGGGGAGGGTGGCCCTGGGCCGGGTCACCCCTTCCTCTGGTTCCTCCCTGCTCCCAGCAGCGCCCCCTCCGCCCCAGCTTCTTGGCCGCCCGTACCACTGTCTCCTGCATCTGAGCCACTTCTGCCTTCCTTCCTGTACCCAACAAAGGCGCGTTGTGGGCCCGCTTTAAGCCTCAGAACTTGTGCCAGGCCCCGGGAGCGCCACGTGAATGGGACGCTTGTGTGCGGCGTGGGGGGTGTGGGGATGGAAGCTGAGGCGTCGGGGCTGTCACAGGCTACTTGGCACTGCTGCCTCCTGGCTGTCAGCGTCAGGGTCTCAGGACGAGTTCCCAGGAGGTGCTGGGAGTGGGGATGTGAGAGAGGAATAGAGACCGAGCCCAGGCATCCTGGAGAAGAGGCCAGAGGGGGCTTCTGGTGGTGCCAAGCTGCCAGCACAGGGTGGGGAGGGAGCCTCGTGTGCCCAGGGGTGACCACCTTCCTACATCATTACCGTGGGTCAGCGGCCTGGACACGGGTCACATCCTAAGTGGGGGTGTGCTCTGAGGGGTGCCCTGGGCACTGCAGTGTGGTGAGCAGCGTCCCCAGCCTGCCCTGACCTAACCAGGATGCCCCCCAGTGTGACAGCCACACGTGTC